ACAGGTTGAAGGTCGCGTTTTATCTTGCCAGTCAAAACCAAATGATAATAAACGGCTACAAAAAAATATGTAATGCTTTTATAAATTTTGTTTGTGCATGCAAATTTTTAGAGTGAACTTTTATGAACCTTTAAGGTTTTTTACTTCTGAAGTGACGACTTCATAATGGCGATAGCAAGGTTTTTGTTTTGCACGTCGGCGTTTAGCTTGTTAGTAAAATAAAATATTTCAGTTGCCCAATTTGCGATTTTTCTTTTTTTAATATACACTAAGATGGCAAATATTTCTTTTTAGCTACAGAACCGCGATCCAAGAAGGTTCTGGCTATCTTGAAAGCTCTACTAGAAAATTACATTCGAATGATCTCGTGTCAACGTCGTTACATAAACAACAACAAATTCTGCTTTACCGCGGTATAAATCTAAAGGTTGTATTGCATAGAAACAGAATGAAGCCTATGGAGAAATTTGCTTTCCAATCCCCACAAAGATTCCACTGTAAAATTAAATCATAGAATGTGTTTGTTATTATGATTTTTTGCAGGACAACAGTGATTGCCAGGCCTGAAAAGACTACTAGAACACACACTGAAAAATAAACGAGTTCATAATACCGTGAATAAGAAGAGGTCTTAATTTGATTGCAAGTATAATAAATTAAGACTGTAGGAAACTATTGGACCTACGGGGACCGGCACAAAATGTCTGTATTAATGGACAGGTGTAACTTACAAAGAGTAAAAGAAAATGACCAAAGAATAGTAGGGACCAACTCGATTTCCTGGAGGTGCCTTATCTTTTGATTGTACTACTGTGTAATATTTCTAGCATTATATCCTCTCTCTTAATATTATATATTGTAGTTACAAGGAAACAGTAAAGTATTTTTTGAATCAAGTTTGATTAAGCCTGGCTGCAGTTAATAAATTTAACCAACAATGAAATTGAATCATACTGGACATGAAGTACACAAGTGTGCTAGGGTTGCTGGTCACACTAAAAAGTTTGGTTTTCAATGGTTTAATAGCTGTTACAGGCCATTTGTATTTCATTTGTGCAAAATTCTGTATAATTTTCTTGTTTGCAATATACTCAGTTTGAATTTGTATGTTATATAAATGTTTTATGTTGTATCTGTAAGATATATACTAGCAATGTCTGGTTTTAAAAGACTAGGAAATGTTTAGTTTCTTTTAAGTTCCTTATGTCTTGCATGGGTAGCTTTCAGTGACCATTTCATTACAAAAAGCTGTTATAATATACTCAATCAATCCTTTGTAATTTATCACTTATTATTAGACAATTAACTTTTTCTTAATAGTTTCTATACACTTGTAAATTATTTTATTATATGCTGTTCTTTATTTATATAAGTATATATTTAACTAATAACTACAATAATAACTGAATCTAATGTAAAGATGAAGTCTCACCTATAATCCTTCATGGCTTCTTGAGACTTCCTCCCTTTTGGGATTCTTTTCAGTTTCGAAATGTGTATATTTCGTGTAATCTAACGTTTTTTCCTTTTCATTTATATGTAACATAGACATGAAAAAAATCAATAAATCCACAGACGGAAGAAAAGTAAGACTTTTGCAAGACGATCGAAGAGAAGGCTGCTAGTTTATACTGGAACATGTAAGAACAGCTTTCCCACAGGGGTAAAATTTTTACTCAAGTGGGAGACAGGCAGCAACGGAGACATTTAACACAAATACAGTTAATAGTTTCTTCTGTAGTTATTATATTAGTACTGAACATTTTGCAAACACGGGAACTTGCACGTAGATTCAATTAAATTTTTAACTTGTTGATTGCCTTGTTTGTATCTTTAACAGGCAAAAAGGTCAAGATGCACTGTGGTTTGCAGAAACGTATGGTTTACTGCCAGAATCTCTGTTGTTAAGAGGCAACACTGGATTGGTCCATGAAGTGAAAGTCGCAAAAGAACCAACACGTATACTAGATTTTAAACATTAAACAACTTCAGGTATGCAATACACATCTTTTTCATAGAAATGATTGTCTCTTTTCCATTTTCTTGGTAGGTAACCCTGAAAAAGAAAATATAGTTACACACGAAGAAAACGCCCAGCAAACAAGAAACCAGGAAAGTTTTAAAGGTGAAGTAGATTGCATGTACCTAAATCTAAAGGCATGAACATGTTTTAAAAAGAATTACCTTTTGGTAATTTGGAGTTGAAATTAGAATAAAATTTAAGATAAATTTTTGTCTATATTCTTTTCTAACATATCTATCTTACTATCTGGAACAAGACTGGTTATATGTTGTTGCATTTAATCTACCACAGACAAGAGTAGGCCTATGAGAAGGTGTCTTCGTCAGAGAAGGAAAAAATTAGAGCAGCACTTTTCATAATGGACAAGTTCTGGGTGTCATGGAAAGCATATCACGAGTTGACGTAGCAAGATAACAACCTCCCAAGAACTTACGTAGTAGAACGTGGAAATTTACAGCGGAAATCCTGCCCACTCCTGGGAAAAATGGAAGATAAGATCTTAAATTTATTGACAGGCTATGGGAACTTTGACAAAACCAGATGCACAAAAAGTGGGCCTTACACATCATCGCGTCAGCGAGTGAGGGATCAAGATATAGTGCCTGTGCGGTTACATACTCATGATGTAGGTGAAAAATTGGTTCCACCATATTGGAGGAGTGAAAACTGTCATACAACTCCTCGCGTCTTCTAGCAATGTCTTCCGTTTTGTCTTATCATTGGTTGTTCCAACAATTAAAAGAGGCGTCCAGACATTAGTTTTTGTAGAGTGCCTAAAGTAATTAATAGTTAAAGCGAGCAGACGGAAATTTGTTGACTGAATGGCGAACTAGACGATTAGAAGCCGTTAAAAGCCATCATGACTCGATGGAGAGCAAGCTTGAGAACGACCTTGTTTGTGGAATTCATTTTCACTCTGGAAATGCAGCTTCCCTCTGGGATAAATTCAATCCAGACTGGCTGCCTAGCTTGCATTTGGGCCACAGTAAGTTAAAACATTCAGTCCAATAAAAGAAACAACAAGAAAGAGCCCAGAGAATAGCAGAAGACGTAAATGCGAGAGGGAACATGAGGAACAGGATCAAGCTGTTATAGAAAAAATGTCTAGGGAAGATTAATCAGGAGCCTACAGAGATCGGAGATAAACACCCTCTGCTCTCTGTTGGGGCTGGAACCACCTACACCAGAATAACTGGATGAAAAGACTGCTGCACAAGCATTGTTGGCCTCCTGTTTCAGCTCTTTGAGGCTGATTTTCTTCTCCTTTACCACAAGGTAAGGCATTAAGTTATAAAAACTTAAGTGATTAAACCTTTCAACTCTAGATGACTTAATAAAGTTACCAAAATTGTCCATCAAATGGGAAATTAATACAGTATGTGATATTTGCCTTTACACTGAGCAAGGGATACCCATCCTCCACAGCAGGATGTAGGCTGGATAACCTGCTGCTATTCAGGAAATTAAATTATATGCAATCTACGAAAGGCACAAGGTTTTAGCCAGAAAGGTGTCCAGCCGTCCCATGGCCATGGATGCCCATTTTTAGAAGAAATACAAGGAAAAATCAGTTAATCTTTTATAATTTTATGGCACAACATGCCTTCTGGACGGCCAGTTTTCAATGTCTGGCTAAAAACCTACAAAGACATAAAAGGCTACACGTACTTATAATACTTGTGCAATTTGTGTTAAGACTTTAAATTATTTGGATAAAGTCGATGTACATAGGACTGTAGAAGACTCCAAATAAAGCATTGTCTTTTCTTGTCTATAATAATAAATTATTCATCTGACTTGAGGAAGTAATAATAAATTTGTACTCCTGTTAAGAGAGAGATTTTTTACATAGCCAAATGTTTCTGCATGATATTAACATTTCATTAATACAAGCAGTGTTGCAGGCGTAGCAGATCTTCTTTTCAAATTAATAGTGCAGTACACATTAGTATCAATCTTGGCATCCCCTCTTCCACACTACTACAAGTTATTGTAATATTATTACTATACCGTTTCTACGTTAAAATAATTTTTATCCAGTATATAATTGAATGTATGGAAACATTAATAATGCAGCCTTTAATATTGTTCAATTTTAAACATCTCCATGTTTAGACTTGTTAGAAGCCATGGAAAGTTGCTTGGAAATGATCAAGCATTTCCGTTTTTACTTGATGTTGTCTACAGCATTAAAGAATGCGTTTCACCTCACGCTGAGGAATTACATGCTCACACCCAGCCAAAGGGTTTTAACTTTGTCAGAGATGAGGAGGGACATTGCATAATGTATTACAGGAATTACTCACATATGAAATGGGAAGGCCCTTAACGACTGCTGAAGGTACGTGATTGATACATTGTTTTTCAGTTGAAATCAATGTCCAAAGTAACATCTGCAAATAAATTTGAATTAAGCATACTTCCAAATAAATAAAATTTTCTTTAAACCACACTACAGTATCCGTAAATTGAATTAAAGGTTACATGTAGCTGGTGCAGTTAACCATATCTTAAAGGCTGATGCAAAGCATGGAGTATTAATCAACCTGGACTAAGAAAAATGACATTCAAAACCAGTTAAATGTTTCATTGCATCAACTGTTTTCTGCCCTCGGGGAAACAGAAATTTGACCATGTTGGAAAAAATCTTTTAACAATTTCTTGGTGTCCAAAAAGTGCAGTTTATGACATTTTTCATATCTGTCTTTTCATGAAGTCCACACCAACCGAAAGACTCAACCTTGTGCGGCCCACACTGAACAAAATTGATGTGAAGGCTTTGAAGAGAGACCTCAAAACATTTGAGGAGCATTATCCTGTGGGAATCTCAAGAACACGGACTCAGTGGCTCCAGGATGTTGACAAACTTTTGGAGTTACCTACAGACTGGGAGTGACCTTTAGACATTCTGAAAAGGTGTTCCAAAGTGCAGAGGCCAGCAAATGAAGCCATCACCATTCCGGATCATTTGCAAGCTATGCGTGACAAAGAAACAGTGAAGACTCCACAGGTGTGGTTGTTTGTTTATGGCAAGTGGTGCTTAGTACATGTATTGTGAGTTAAGCGAACACACAGGTTTAGCACACGGGCACAGCTTACATGTACCGTATAGATTTTTTAAGCTAGGACCTGGTACATGTGTTTGTTAGAATGGTGGAAATATTAAACCGGCCTCAGGTGGTGCATACATGAGAAAACGTGCACGGGAGGGAGTTTCTTACCTTGGTGACTTCCTGATTTCATATAACATTTTGGTTGTGCATTAAGGGGCATGTATACACCCCCTGAAACTTCACTGTACATGCACGTCTGCATACATGTACTTGTACAAATGAAAATCAGTTATATTATCTTTCTTATGTTTATACAATATATACACATGTACATGTAATTACGTTTCTGTGATCCATGTAATCCCTAAACATTCAACCCATTCAACTAAGCAGTGTGGCTTTGGATACTTCAGATCTACACTGGACGATACAGGCCATTACGGGAGCGGGAAAACCCAGTGGAAGCTGTTGATGACTGCTTGGAAAAGATTGAGGTGGAAAAGTTTGTTGCAGTCCACCTTGCCAATTATGATAAAGTGCCAGTAATTGGAAAGGTTCTGGAAGTAAGTGAAAGTATCGTCAAGATCCACTACTGGAAAGGATCTTTTATGGGGAAGTGGAGTCCACAAGATGTGCCCAGATGGCGGACGCCACGGATTGATGAGCTCCCCAAAACAGAAGACAACAAACTATAGCCATCCACCAGGAAACATCTCCAAGATGAGTATGCTAAATTGCAACAGAAAGATTAGCATTGCTTGTCACATTACCGTAAATGATCAGTTAAGCACCGCAGTGCATATTTCATTGTTCCCGTTTTAGGAGCAGCGCTTATTTCAACTACGGCTAAAACAATGAGTGGAGTGAGGCGGGCATAAGGTACGCTCAATTTAGTCTAAAATATGTACAACTCAGACTGTTTTATTAACCCGGTTTCCACAGTCTTGCTAGAGTAAAACTTTAGAACTCACCAGTTGGTCAAGGTCTTATTATTTTTCAAGTGATATGGTTTTGATATCTCTTTATATCAACTGCCATAAAAAAAAGAAGGGGCGTTTATTGGTAAATACCCAAATTAGCACTGCGGCGCTTATTCGAGTAGCGGCGCTTGTCTTGTTGGCGCCAAATAAAGTGTATGTATTTATACTAACTCTGACAGAGTTAGGAAGTGGATTCTGCGGTGTTACTAAGGTCAGTTGTAAAGTTTGAGTAATCTTGCCATTTTTGGAAATTCTGAACTTTCTTGACCTCTTCGGTACAGTGTTCATTAAATTTATAGCTATTTTATTGTTGAAGTCAGTGCATATGTTACAGGTTGAATTTGATTTCAGGTTACATTTCTTTAATTACTCATGAATAAGGGTTAGGAAACAGAGGGAATTGAGAATCAACATAGACTAAATATCAAAATTAACCTGAAATCAAATTTGAATTGTAACACATACATCAGTGCAGTACTTGACTGTTAATTGTTTACAATTGCATATTATACAGTAATAGACCGCTGCGAAAAAGCTTGTTCTTTGTCATTTCAAGATAATCTGAGTGTATGGAATCTGTTAAGAAAATTATGATATTGTAAATTATTTCAAATTAAGTAGTGTTATCAAGAAAAAATATTTTGATCAGACATTGCTCTGAGGCAGGCAGCAAGAACTAAAACCTGTCTTCAGTGGTGCAATTAAATGTGCCTGTACTTGATGTAACACTAGCGATTGAATAAAGTTTATACATCCTGTATCGTGGAACAATCATTTCCTTGCACTTCTTCAGAATCATGAGTTAACTTCAACCTCAGATGTTGAGACATTTCACTGCTTTGGGACCAGAGAGAAATTCTGCTTCCATGACTGTATTCTTGGGGGTTCATTAATCTCCTGTGTTGATGGGAAATCGGAAATTCTGGATCCTTCCTTTATTGTTTGGGGGGTCAGAAATTCTGAATCCTCTCCTGTGTTGTTTGGGGGTTAAGAAATTCTGAATCCTCTCCTGCGTTGTTTGGGGGTTAAGAAATTCTGAATCCTCTCCTGGGTTGTTTGAGGGATCAGAAATTCTGAATCCTTCCTTTATTGTTTGGGGGTCAGAAATTCTGACTCCTCTCCTTTGTTGTCTGGGGGGTCAAAAATTCTGATTCCTCTCCTGTGTTGTTTGGGGATCAGAAATTCTGACTCCTCTCCTGTATTGTTTGGGGGATCAGAAATTCTGACTCCTCTCCTTTGATCTTTGGGGGATCAGAAATTCTGAATCCTCTCCTGTATTGTTTGGGGGATCAGAAATTCTCAATCCTTCCTTTATTGTTTGGGGGGTCAAAAATTCTCAATCCTTCCTTTATTGTTTTGGGGGGTCAGAATTCTGACTCCTCTCTTGTGTTGTTTGGGGGATCAGAAATTCTGAATCCTCTCCTGTGTGGTTTGGTGGATCAGAAATTCTGAATCCTTCATTTATTGTTTGGGGGGTCAGAAATTCTGACTCCTCTCCATTGTTGTTTGAGGGGGTCAGAAATTCTGACTCCTCTCTTGTGTTGTTTGGGGGGTCAGAAATTCTGAATCCTCTTATGTGTTCTTTGGGGGATCAGAAATTCTGAATCCTCTCTTGTGTTGTTTGGAGGATCAGAAATTCTGACTCCTCTACTTTTTTGTTTAGGGGATCAGAAATTCTGAATCCTCTCCTGTGTTCTTTGAGGAACCAAATAAAGTTGAAATAAAGAATAGGAAATTGCTTGGAAGAATTTTACGATTCCTGGCAAACAGGGAGACGTTCCCTGTGAGTTTTAACACCAAGTTAAGATTAAGAGGAAACTGCAAAAATCGTCTTTGGAATTAAATGGAAAAAATGAATTTCCGTGAAAGCTCTAGGTTTCACTTCCAGCCAATTTTACACTCACTTCCAGCCGAACTTTAAAACCTTCAACGTAAGAAAAACTGTTCTCCGAGACAGGTTTCTATTTTAAACGGAAAAAGCAGCCTGTTTTGAGGTGATTCTCAGTATTCGCTCTGAATTTTACCACATTTTAGTTCGGAAGGCGTTCTGGAAATTTACAGCACAAATCCTGCCCACTCCTGGAAAAAATGGAAGATAAGATCTGAAATTTATTTACAGGCTATGGGAACTTTGACAAAACCAGATGCACAAAAAGTGGGCCTTACACATCATCGCGTCAGCGAGTGAGGGATCAAGATATAGTGCCTGTGCGGTTACATACTCATGATGTAGGTGAAAAATTGGTTCCACCATATTGGAGGAGTGAAAACTGTCATACAACTCCTCGCGTCTTCTAGCAATGTCTTCCGTTTTGTCTTATCATTGGTTGTTCCAACAATTAAAAGAGGCGTCCAGACCTTCGCTTTTGTAGAGTGCCTAACGTAATTACTCGTCACGGCAAACTGATGGAAATTTGTTGACTCAATGGCGAACTAGATGGTTAAGCAGCCATTAAAAGACGAGATGACTTGACAGAGAGCAAGATTGAGAACGACCTTGTTTGTGGTATTCATTTTCATTCTGGAAATGCAGCTTCCCTCAGGGATAAATACAATCCAGACTGGCTGCCTAGCTTGCATTTGGGCCACAGCAAGTGAAAACGTTCAGACCAACAAAAGAAACAACAAGAAAGAGCCCAGAGAACAACAGAAGACGTAAATGCGAGAGGGAACATGAGGAACAGGATCGAGCTGTTATAGAAAAAATGTCTAGGGAAGATGAATCAAGAGCCCACAGAGGTCAGAGATGAACACCCTTTGCTTAGAAGTGACTTTATGTCTGTTGGGGCTGGACCCACCTACACCAGATTAATTGATGACACTGAGAAGACCTCTACATAGAGAAACATTTCAAGATTCTATCCCACCTTTGTTGAGGTGTCAGAGATTCCAATCTACAAAGCAGCTTCCATAACAGCCCATGGTACGTGCTATAAATGTGATCTCAACACAATCTTTTTAGGAGAAATGAGATGGAAATGCAGTATTTGGCTCATTACAGAAGATCTGGCTATGCAGTACATATATTTTGTTTGGACTGAAACTTTACGATACTGTTGATTTTATAGCAGGTCTAAATACTTCAAATCAGGGATGAAAAAATCCTGAGTGGCTTGCTTACCTTAGAAACAGGACCTCTTAATGTCATCTGTTACGCATTTGTGTAAGTATGACGAAAACATGTATGTTTGCCTCAGGGACGATCCAATGCACTTTTGGGTAACTAAGTTTGTTTGGGTAGCAAACAGTGTTTAAGATGTTCTAGATTTTCATTAAATCAATATTTTAAACAGGGCATATAATTAATGTTATGTAGGTGACTAGCGTTATAACTAAGCCCTGAGCCCTTAATTGAGAACATAAAATAAAAGGAATTATTCCAACAATAACTCCTTGGAAATGAATACCACTCCTCTGGCGACATTTGTTCTTGCCAGAAGAATTATCTTATTCTTGCTTCATTGTTATAAAGATAAGGATTCTTACAACTAGAGTAAAGCATTTGAAATAAAGGCTTGTCACTCCTAATATAAAGCTTTCCTTGAACCTAAGAGAACAATTAGTTTTGAAAACAATGACAAGAATGGATTTGGTTGCATCCTCTCTAGGATCACCCTATAGCGACTAGATTAATATATACACAAACCCAAATAGGTGTAAGCAAAACGCCCACTCGGGATGTCATGTTCTTTTTGAAATGTATGTTTCTGTCTAAGCAATCTGAAAACAATATTAATATTTTTTTTTACTCTGTCACCATTATTTAAGCCTACTTAAGATGAATTTTAAAAGTAACTCTTTTCAATTTCAAATTCTTTGAAATTTTGAAATGTTGTTAAACGTCTTCAAATTCCCAAAAAAGAGAGATAAGTCAATTATACCTGTCAAGAACAACATGGTGGCACTGTTCAGGAAGGACATTTTCGATGTTACAAGATCCCTAGTTGGTTTGGACAAACTTTCTCCTGATGAACCAGGCGCTGAAGTTGACATTCAACAGGTCGTCAGTTGGGCAAACGGGGAAATGTGCCTTCGTGATCCCGTCCCTGATTTGGCGACCTTTAATCTGAGGCTTGATGGGCCTTCTTTCTGTGGTATATGCATTTACTTAATAGCTGTTGTAGCTAAGGTTCATGTTAAATTGCATTTATGCACAGTCGCAAGGCTATCAACATGGTGGACAAGAATGGCAGCTGAAGTGCAAGCTTACCATACCTCAAAACGAGACCCTATAATGTTTTGAATTTAAAAACAAATTTCCTGGCAATTTCATTTGCTATATCACTATTCTTCAATAATACCCTACTTCGGATTCATTTTTCTTGCTGGTGTACTTGCATTTGTTCATAACAATTTGGCAGTTGTATTTCCCGAAACCATAGTGTAATGTTTTCCTTTTGATTTTTGGCTCGAATCAAATTTTTTTCTTGGCACATATGCTTCATACAGGAAAAGACCAAGTGAGAATGGGCTAACTCCATTAGATGCTGATCATCGTTCATCGCAAAGTGCAAATTCAGTATAACCACTTGCCATAGCAAATTGCCGAGAAAAGAGGTCAGTTTTCCACTAACTTGTTTGTGGACATATTCTCTCTGTATGGAACATAACATTATTTTAAAAGCTCATTTTTGCCCAATTAAATTCAACCTTTTTCTTTTGACAGTTGCTCTGTTCTTAATTTGCTTGATTTTAAAGTATCTGATGGCTTATAA